TGGCTATTATCAATACCATGCTAAGGACCCACTACTTTCCATCGGCGTAGAAGACTACTGAAGTTATAATAATGCCAAAGTAGCTGGGTTCGATATTTTCAAAGGACTATCAACCCATTAGCCTGCTGTCTGCTCCGTCTAAGCTCTCTGAAAAGGTAGTTGTAATTCCTGACTTGCAATTTAGACATCAGTCTGAGCATAGTACAAAGTTACAAGCGGTTAGGTTTATGGAGCGAACAACCAAGTGCTTTACTTTTACCGAACGTACTAGCATCTTGCTTCTGGATGTCTCGAAGGTATTTGATAAGATATGGCACAAGGCCCTTCTCTATAAACTAATTCAAAAGAGCTTTCCATTTTAACTCCTAAAACTTTTGAAATTCTTCCTTGAAGGTAGGAAATTTCGGATAGAAATTAATAATTTCTTGTCGACAATACGGAACATCAGAGCCGGTACCCTCAGGGTTCAGTTGTATGGCCAATCTTTTACCCACTTTTTACGCATAATGTCCCTTGCCCTAACGACTGTAAAGTCTATCTATATGCTGATGACACTGCACTAATGGCCCAGTCGCGTACCGGAAATGTGGTTCACGACAGGTTACAAATTGCGGTGGATATTAGAATGGGCAGATCGGTGGATAATTAATTACTTGAAAACGCACGCTATCGTACTAAAAACCGTAGCGGCGCCTCGCCTGAGGTTTCAATGAATGGAGCCTGCTTACCATGAGGAAATTCTGCTAAATATCTCGGTGTCACTCTTGACAGAGAAATGACCTGACAGAATCACATTGAAGCGTTAAAAACTAAATTCCAAATTCCATTTCAGCACCTTTACCTTTTACTATGTAGAACCTCAAATTTAAGTTTGGTTAACAAAGTTTGGCTATATAAGATTATCATCAGACCATCAATCACTTACTCATGTGCAGCATGGTGTTTTCTTGCCAAAACGCACATGCGTAATCTGCAGGTTTTGCAGAACAGAACCTTACGAACCATCACTAACGCACCATGGTATATCTCCAACGACACCCTTCACACAGACCTCAACATCCCTTACCTAAGGGACTACATCAAACATCAGGCGCAATTACGTTATACTCAGACAGAATCACACAGCAACCCTCTGTTGCGTGAGTCAGTAGACTATACAATCAAGCAAGTTCACAAGCATACAAGACCGCAGCTCGCACTATGAGCAAAATCAAATCGTGCAATTTTAGACAACTTCCTAAATCAATTTTTGGATTAATTTAAAATAACCGAATACCAGTTAAGAATAGCAAGGCGTCCCTTAAACCGGCGCACTTCATCCTCTTTGCCTTCTCCCTTCCTTCCTTTCTTTCTTCTTCCTTTCTTTCTTCCTGACTTCGTATGGTATCTGGACAATCAGATCTGATACACCTACTGACTCACGATACTTTAACAAAGAACAAAGGTCCTTCGGACCGCTCTGACGGACAATGACGAATAAAGGTTGAATTTTATTGTAAACTTCGTATATCATTTTTTTCCCTTTCAATCTTTGTTTCCTCAGATTGCACCTAAATCTAGATGTATGGGCATATGTATTCACTTTTTAAATTGCATATGTGTATTCCTTTCGGGTTTAATGAAGCCAGCAACGGAAATACGTATCATTCGGGTTACCTATCATATTTTATAATCTAATCTGCTTTTTTCTTTTTGCGGATTTTACCCATTATTTTTTCTATTTGATATATACCTTTCTCCGCATAATTCTTTTCTCTTTTTAGATTTTTAGGACTTAAAATACCTCAGTAGGTAATTATAAACCAATCACGTGGTTGTGATGACAGCTCGCATTGAAAGTCAAGCTTTTCTAGCCATTTTATACTACATTGTATACGTTGGCTCTTGTTGTGGACTTTATATATCATTTTCCCCTATCCATCTTCGGTTTCTTTAGGTACACTCGCATCCTGATATATAAATATAGTTGTAGTCACCGTTGGTAATGGGTCAAAGTAGAGGTATCAATACCTCTTTATATATTCCCTATCTCCTTCATACATACACATGCAACTTTCTCCTGTATGTGAACATTTGTTCGATACACTCACAGACATACATTTTTTAATTTTGTGTCTCCGTCTCGAAACTTTATAGTTATATATGCATATGCCCTTCAACCTATTGACATCGATGTACAATTCAAGTTATCCTGTTATCAGTCTTCAATATAAAATTGTACAATGCCCGGAAATACGATCAATGGAGAAAACCGACAACTCATGCTAAATTATATAATGTGTTCCATGAAAAAAATAAAAAAAACACTCTCCTGTTACCCACTTCATATATATATATATACATATATATTCAATAAAACGCAAATAGCCATCTGTCACACTAAAATCGACCATTGCGAAGAGCGAAGTAGTCAATTATGGTGTAATAGATAGCCCACTCTTAAGTCAATACACCATACGTTCGAAATAAGAAACAGTCACAATGTTTTCATTCATATCCAGAAAGAAAAAAACTATACCTAGGCCATGCTAATGTGTAGCCAAAAAGCACGAAAATACTATCCATCATTTTCTGGATTTTGTTCGACTGGACGAAAACATTATGTTTATTATATTTGTAATTTTATTTTTATTTCAGTATTGTTCCTGTAGCAATCACGCCACAAAGGACATGTACTAATAGTTCAGAGATTGTTAACCATCCAACAAATATATGGGCATTGGTCACAACAAGACATTGAGAAATCACTACCTCTTTGCTAAAATGAGTACTTCCACAAGGATGGAAATTGATATCCCATTTACAACACATTGACCGATAGAAAAGTCATCCTTACCAACTTTAAACCAACAACAGAGTGATGACAATATCACTATGACAATGGACACGATGAACTTAATGACATATTAGCTAACCTTAATATAGACAATTTACTAGAAAATACCAATAATATAATAACCGAAAATGTAACTGAAACTATTCATCGAAGAGGGAATCATTACATGGCGGCAACTAATCATTACACAGGTCTATATACATTGGGGAACTTTCACTTTTACCTGTTCTCATGTAGAGCCTTACATTTTTTATGTGAAAAACATTCCAGAAATGTTTATTCAAATTGTTGTAAGGATGGTGCAGTACATCTGCCTCCATTTGATTCATATCTGAACAATTAAGAGTACTATTTCAAGATCGAGAATTTATGGAAAACGTGCGTTATTATAACAATAGTTTCGCATTCGCCAGCCTAGCTACCAATACTATAAATCCGCCTGGTCGAGGACCTTATGTATTCAAGGTAAACAGTAAAAATAACATTATGTATGGATCAAAAATAAAATTCCACAATGTAACCTGACAAATCATATCTCAGATCGAATTCATTTTTTTTTTCTAAGCAGTACCTATGGAAGTGACTTTATAAAATTTTAAAGTCTTACAATGAACACTTACTCTGGAACGGCACTCAAATATAAATTTTTGACCAAAATGTAAATGTTAGTATGTTAACAATTTTTCTTTTTTTTTCTACTCCTTCCTGTCAATTCAAGCAATATGTACAAATAATATATAATCATCTAAATAGAATTATCCAACGAAGTCAAATATTACCTTCAAATTGCAATATAATTTATTCGACAAATAGTTTAAATAATTCTTCTAGAAATTTTTTACTGATTATTATTAGCTAGACATTTAAAATAGCTTACAACATTAAACATTTACAAAATTAGTATAAAACACCTTAATTCTAAAAATTCTGAGCTATATCGGGGTTCAATTTTATTACTCTATGGAACATGATTCTTTTTGAAAGTTTACGCTCTTAGGTCAAACGATTCACTTTGGGACCACACGTTTACAATCTCAAAACAGGTGTAGCAAGAAATTGAAGAATTGACAAAGTATTAAAATTTATATTTTGATTTACAAACGCATATCGTTACCCTAATTGTAATACCACGTATTATCTATTTTGTCGTTTTACAGAAAATGATAAAAACTGTTTTACGGCGGCCGTATATAATTTATTCTTATAAATTATGTAACGTCTTTCTACTTTTACGGTTAAAATATACTTAGTTATCATTTTTAAAGATTCCATATTTTTTTGTGAAAAATATGTTTGATGCATGTTATTGCACTTAACTGTTTGATGATGATACTTAGTGTTTAGGTTTATTATAATGAAAATAGATGTTTCATTATTCAAACAATATACCAAACAGGGCTTTATTGAACATTGTTGTTGAACAATATTTAAATGAAACTAATACAGAGATTTCAAAGGAAACAGTAGAAAAAGATGACAAGGATGTTTGTCTTCCTACTCATACGGCAGGTTCTCATAGAAACTGTGTACTTCATCTGCTAGAGTAGATTTCAGATCTTGCAAATGGTCATATTTCTTGTTTGATATTTTTTAATCCCATCTATATAACGTCTTTGGTGGTGTATCATACATGACTTCTTTAAAATTCCTTGAGGTAGGTCGGTGAGCTCATCTTAAAACTGCAGATTAATTTGAATTTTGCCTTTTGATTGATAGTGGATCTCTCTTAAATTAGTTACTGTTGGGTCATGTGCTTTTTTTCCTGGACTGATACTATGATATACCATTTGGTCTTTAATATCATAATTTCTGAAATCCGTATGGTTCATGTATTTAACTTCGTACGGTTCTGGTTTTAATCGCGCTTCTCTTGTTACTTTCACGTAGTCCGTGGTAGTTCAATTTCCCGATTATGAAACTTCACATATTTCCTTCTGGTTTTCTCTCTTTTCCATCAAACTTGCTACATATATCTATCTGTTTTTGCTCCCAAGACATATCAGTCAAAATTTTTTAAAAATCGACAAGCGCTCTTCATGAGTTATAATATTACAGTGTCTCTTTTTGTATTTCAAGCACTTCATGGAGGAGCAAGCTGGACCTAAGCTTCTGCATTGCGTTTCGCTATTGTGTAGTATTTGACCAGTTTTACTTCGACTATATCCTAGATAATCCTTGCCTTCCATTCCGTTACGTTTTGTCTTTTCCCTAGCCAATGAATATTTTCAGGTTTCCTTTTTCTCTTGGATTTCTTCTGTCGTTCAAGTTCTTGTCCATCGGTACAATTTTCGTCTTCAGTATCAATAAAGTCTGAATCAAATTCGTCAAGTTCATTTTCTTTTTCCATTTCATACTCCCGATCAGCATCCTTTGAGACAGACTGGTCTTGTCTTCTAGCTGCTGCATTCATTTCTCCATATAAAAAGTTCACTTGATGTTTGCAGGTTTTTGAAACAGATTGGGAAGCTATATCAGCATAAACGTAGTTGGGAAAACGTTGTTCTCGCCTGAAGCTGCAATTGGAAAAACTGTACTTCCGTCCGCATGCTTAGATGGTGACACATGTTCAGCATTATGTACCAATGCGTCTATGATATCTACATTCATATCATTGTAACTCAACGTTAGTGGGAGAACAGAGTCAATTTCAGAAATTCCTTTCGAAAATCCATTCATTAGTCATATTTTCAATAATAACATCTTCATTTGTAAAAATGATTGAATGTGTAAGCGCTTCTTCTAAAACCTGGCTGTTTTTATTCGTTTCCAAAGCAGCGGCCAGAATCCTTTTACTTCTGCTTGACATCTATAATGGAACAAAGCTATAAGATACTAACGGCTGGATGAGGTTCCTATAAATTCCGAAAAGTTGTATTTAATTTAGAAACTATTACATCTTGGCAATTTACTTGAACTTGAAGTAAGCATTTTGGCAACAGCGCTTTTCAAATATAAATTTTATAAATTAGGAAATACGAAGCAAGGACATTTTAATGTTTCGTCGATTCTTTCGCTAAAATGCTTGGAATAGTAATAAACAATAACTCGTATCATCCAACTACAAAAAGAATTACAATGGACATAATTTGAGATAAACACGTATCATCAAGTTTGAATAAAAACGGCTTGTTTATTCAAAGTATTGCTTTAATTACTCAAACAAGACTAATAAATGACATGTTCAGTATATTAACGCTAATATATACTACTCTAATTATAATTATCAACGTACGTTGCCTAAAATCAGCTTATTCCTCTAACTTGTCGCAGCGTGATGCGCACTTCGTAAGGACCACGTCTAAACTGCTGTTCATACGAGGTATTTTTTCAGCTAACTTGTGGATGATGTTACGCGGTATTCTTGAAATGAATAGCTCGTCTTCTTATTGGTTAAACTGATACGTGGTTTTTATAGACGGTGTGCAATACTGCTTACTTTTTATTTATGCTAGAATCTCAATTTCAGCAAATTTGATGATACGTGATATTACAATTAGGATAACGATATCTAAATCGGATCATTCAACCTAGAATCTTAATATTTTACAAAACCTCATACTTCTATAGGTACTTTCCAGGAAAAAAATAAGCTTGATCTGAAATATAACCCACCAAACCAAGTCGTGGAATTTTAGTGTTTATCATATAGATATATATATATTTTGATGATATAAATATTTTGAAACTTTCCATTACAATGTGTATTGAAAAAAGAAACATACAGTGTAGCATAACATACACTATAGATCAAATTTTGTGAATTGACCTAAATATATCTTAATCCTAAAGTTGATAGTTTGTGAGATTGCAGGGCATCAAAGTTACAATTTTATTTTCTATTTTTCCTTTTTGCTTGAGAAGTATTTAGATTTTGACATAAAACTCGGTATAGGGAGGTTTTCTAGTATAAGAAACAAAAATTCAATATTGTTCTTGGGCAAAGTTATACAGAGCGACAGTGGTAGTACTATTTCGGTCAATAACTTATCATAACTTTTTGCTACTCTGTATACAACTAAACAAAAAATCTTATTTTTCCGTATTTTCACAACAAAAAGACTTGTTTGAAATGTCTAAAGCTAATAGTTTTCGAGATACTTTGTTTTTTAAAGTTCCATTGTATTGTTTATACCATGATGATACATCATTTTTATAACATTATAGTCAAATTGTTTTATACAATATGTGAGTAGCATTGCTATGATTTTAACAATAATAAATGAAGATGGCAACAAAACTACTAAACGAAAATAATAACTACAAAAGTTGTTCAAAATGAGCACTACCTTATCTAACACACTTTCAAATTCGACAAACTAATCCTTGCTACATTCTCCAAAACGTCGATACTATTTTTCATTTCCTAACTATGGTAGAACATTTTTTGTTGAAGATCATCTACAATTTCCACTAACGTATTGTAAATGCGTCGTTTTAAATAACCCTAGAAGAACATTTCTTCTATATAAATTAATTTGAAATTGTACTTTTTGGCAAGTTATATTATTTCATGAGGATATATTGCATACATGTAAAGATTTTGCGAGTTAAGAGCTATGTACAAATTTCTATCCTTGCGGTTTCTTCATCCGCTCTAAACCATATACTTTTTGCAAGTGGTATGTATGGAACATTTGGAAACTTGATATTCTCGAACTACATTCCCAACCTCAACTGTACAATTTTCAAAGACAACATCTAAAACATTTTCTTCAATTTCAGCTGTACGTACAATTTGAGAGCTCCAGTATGTTGGCCCATACTTCGAGCAAATTTAACTAAAATGCAAATGGTATTTACTACTCAAAATAAGACTATAATCATTCTTATCAGTTTCTCGTAACCACTGATCGTTTCGTTGGAATATCTTTGAATTAGGCAAGTGACTATTAGAGAATCTGTCAGCGTACAATCTTCGTGCTTTTAAACCACTACATTTTACTAATCCATATATTAAATTCTCATCAGAATATTCATCAAACCTATATTCCATGATGGTAAACGTTTTATTGTCAACTTAAAATTATTCATAGACCTTAAAATAATCTTATGCCGAACATTAGAAACCATAGCAACGCTACCCAGATATTATCTAAAGCAACTTTATTATTATGTTGTAAAAATAATTTATCATCATAATACAAATAATGCATTGGTATTTTTAAAAATTACTTTTTACACTTTTCACTTTACACTTCTAACTGTTGTTAAAATAGCACAAAAAAGTTATGATGATTTATTTACCGAAATAGTACTGTATGTGGCGCCCTCAAAAAGTTTGGCCATAAAAAATAACGAATTCTTGTTTCTTATAGTAGAAGACCTCCCTATACCGTGTTTTATGGCAACATCTGAAATACTTCTCAAACATTAAGGAAAAATAGAAAATAAAATTGTAACTTTGACATCCTGTATCTTGCAACTATCAACTTTTAGATTGAGATATGTTTAAGTCAATTCACACATTTTGGTCTGTAACATATCCAGTTTTCGAGATTTCCCAACCTTTCCCAGTATATATTTCATATCTTACTTGTATCTTTTTTACAATACTATTTATTTTATTCATATACAAAGAACAGTTATATATTAGACACCAATTATTTCATTTTTTTAAACCACTTATAATATTAATAAATTCGTTATCCCTTCCATAATGAATTTATTTTTCTTTACAGGTACAGGGAGAAATAAGACATTATATATCAAATGTTTCAACAAATATTTCTAATGAACGCAGACAATACGGCAATCTATATTTTTTGGATACCGAACTGGCAAATCAGCTTCGGTCTGCTGGCCCACAAAATCGAACGGAATTAAATCGAGAAACCGTCGATGTTATTTCTAATTACATGCACAGCCACAATCCTTTTGCTCAAGCGTATAGATTTCTTAAAGATGTCTATCAGGAACAACAACATAACAATCGTCAACTAACTTTAGAATTGTACATCAATAACAACCGTGCTCGGGATATTAATTTTAGACAATATGGCGCAGTACAAGCAAATGAAATAGCAGCCGTATTTATTTCTGAAGATGGAAGACCGCCCCTGGATCGTTGCTTACATGTTTATTGTCGAGACAACGATCAAATCATCCACGAATTACCATATCTTAGTGTTAACTGCGACGCAATGACATATCCCCTATTACATCCAAGAGGTGAGCCAGGCTGGCAATCTGGAACAGCGCATCAACGTAGAAGAGGTGATGTATCTTTACTGGAATACTACAGTTTTAGAATAGCTGTTCGACCAGATACTTTCAACCAATTTGTAATGGCAGGCAAGCTGACGCAACATACATCGTAGATGCATACGTAAAAATAGAACAGAGTCGATTACAATTTATTACTGAAAACCAACCACGCATCAGGCAAGAAATATTCCAAGGACTAATCGACTATTTAGACTCTAGACAACTTGATGTTCACTATCAACCAGGCAATATTTTCATCCTACCGTCAACATTCATAGGAAGCCCACGCGCATTTAGACAAAATTATTTGGATGCCATGTCTATAGTCACAAAACATGGGAAACCAGATATTTTCCTAACATTTACTTGCAATCCTGTTTGGCCTGAAATTAGGAATAACCTAGATACAAACCAACATTCCTCAAATAGGCCCGATTTTGTTTCGAGGGTGTTTAAGAGCAAATTGAAGGAATTAATAGAAGATATTGATAAACGACATGTCATGGGAATTTGCGTTGCTTACGTTTACGTGATAGAATTTCAGAAAAGAGGCCTTCCTCATGCGCATATGTTGATTTGGTTGGAAGGATCAGATAAAATCTTGGACTCTGCAGCAATCGACCGTTTAATTTCAGCAGAATTTCCCGACCCTATCACGCATCCCAACTTGCACGAATTGGTCAAAGTACATATGCTTCATGGACCTTGTACTGCTGCTCGATGCTTAGATGACGAAGGACAGTGCAGCAAACAATTCCCGAAATCTTTGCGTGAAGATACATTATACAATTCCTCTGGATATCCGCTATATAAAAGACGGCCAATAGAAGTACCTATACACATAGGTAGAAGAACAGTAGATAACGGTTGGGTTGTACCATACAATGCTTATCTACTTGAAAAATACGAAGCTCATATTAACGTAGAGGCTTGTTCTTCAATAAAAAGCGTGAAATATTTATTTAAATATATATATAAAGGATTTGATAGAGCTCAAATTGTCGTGCGAACTGTAGAGGAACAAGACGGTCAAACAACAACTATTCAGGAACCTATATACAACGAAATTCAAACGTTCATGGACGTTCGCTATGTTAGCGCACCTGAGGCAATGTGGAGAATTTATACATTCGAAATGCACGATATGTCTCATGCTATCATCAAACTTACTGTACATCTTCCCAATATGCAACAAGTCTATTTTAATACAAATAGTACCATCCCTGACGTTGTAGAAAGAGCCGCAACACAACACACTACGCTAACAGGATGGTTCGCTTTGAATGTACAAGACGAAGAAGCTAGGCAATACACTTACGTACAAATACCTTATAAGTATGTGTGGAAAATAAGTCAAACAAGACATTGGGTAAAACGTCAACGAAATTTTGATCGTTTAATTCCTAGGTTATATTTTGTTCATCCTAGAGAAGGTGAACGATTTTATCTTCGTCAACTTCTTTTGCATAAAACAGGATGTAGATCATTCGAAGACCTTCGAACTGTACATGGCCGTACGTACGAAACGTTCCGTGACGCTGCTATTGCGATGAACCTTCTCACGGACGATAGCATTTGGTTTTCTACTTTGCAAGAGGCTATACGCGTAGAAATTCCACGAGCTCTTCGCCGTATGTTTTCACAAATGTTACTTTTTTGTGAAATCGAAAATCCGTTAGCATTATGGGAACAATTTAAATATCATTTATCCGAAGATTATATACGACGCTTAAATAATAACGAACTAGCCTACAACTATGCTTTGGCTTACATCAATCGATATCTAACACTACAAGGTTAGTATTTCTATCAATAATTAGTTTTATTAATTCATTTAAAATTGATGCCTATGTTTCAAATAACTTTTTATTTTTACTTTACATTTTTTCCGTATTCGAAATTTTTTAAATTTAATCATTTTCTAGGTAACACTACCGTGCTAAAAAAATATGAATTAATTCATTACGTCAATATCTTTAACACTATTAATTTAACATAACATAATACATTTTTTTATTTCAATCGATCTTATACCTATATTACATTATTTTAAAATAATATTAATGTGATAAGTAATTTCCCAGTATAATTATATAATATTTGTTCAATCACATACATTTTTATTTTTAGGCAAATCAAATAGAGACTTTCAACTACCCTTACCCACTGAACCAGTAGAACACCTAATCGAAGATGAATACAATTATGACCAAGCAGACGAACAACAAATTGCTAATAGGAACATTCCTCTGTTAAACCAAGAACAACGCCTTATTTTTAACGACATACTTTTGGCCCTAAACGAAAACGAAAGGGTTCCACATCGTCTATTTTTTATTAACGGAATTGGAGGTGCAGGAAAAACATTTCTGTTGAATACACTACTGGCTTACTTACTAGGAAATAATCACCGTTATATTGCTATGTGTTATACTGGCATCGCAGCCAGCTTATTGAAAAATGGCCAAACGATTCATTCTTCTTTTATGTTACCGGTTCCATTTCTAGAAAATTCAACGTCGAGGATTCGCAATCAGAGTACGATTGCTGATAATATTAGATATTCAAAAATTATTGTCATTGATGAAATATCTATGGTACATAAAAGTATATTCAATGAGATAGATAGAAAGACAAGAGAAATAATGAACAATGACATTCCATTTGGCGGCAAGATTATCATAATTCTAGGTGATTTCAGGCAATGCGCACCTATCGTTCCGTTGGCAGGCAAAAATGAAACTATTTCTGCATCAGTGAAATGTTCCCAACTATGGCAATACTTTGTTCAGTACGATCTTGTTACGAACGTTAGAGCATTGCCACAAGAAAACGAATTCAAAGATTGGCTGATGACCATAGGAAATAATTCCGAAATTTTACGTCGCTTAGAAAATAGCAGAGACACTATAGTTAAAATTCCTAATCGTATCATTGTAGAAGATGTTACTGAAAGCATATACGGTAGTAATTTAACTGAACACGATTTCACATTATTACAAAAAGCGATTTTGTCTCCACTAAACATTCATGTCAAGGATATCAATTCAGTTGTTTTAGAAAAACTGCCAGGTAGGTCACGGCAATACCTAAGTGTCGATAGTATTATCCGAGAAGACGATACAACCGAAAATGCTGCTGATGATTTAGATTCCGCATGGCCGCAAGACTTTTTAAATTCTTTGGATGCTCCAGGACTTCCTCCCCACATACTTACACTAAAGATTGGCGCAGTTATCATTTTAACGAAAATTTAGATGTGAAGAGAGGCTTATGTAACGGCACACGTTTATTGATTCATAATTTACACGAAAATTTTATAGAAGCGAAACGAGTGGAAGAATCTAATAATGAACCTTCGATCGAATTTATTTCCAGAGTTGATAATATCGCTCTAAATTCTCTTGATCTACCAGTCAACTTGAAAAGGAGACAATTCCCTGTACGTCTGGCTTTTGCAATGACAATTAATAAAAGTCAAGGTCAAACTTTGAACAGTGTCGGCTTATTTTTACCAGTAACAGTATTTGATCACGGACAACTGTATGTTGCACTATCAAGAGCAAGAAGTTTTGAAAACCTCAAGATTCAAATGATAAATATAGGTAACCGTCAACATGTAGCTGAAACTCCAAATAATCACTCTTACACTGTTAACGTAGTATATAATGAGCTATTGCAAAGCAGCATAATCCAGTAAAATGAAGAGAAATAATAAGAAATTCTTTCTTGGACAAATATACAATATGGAATGTAGATATATTTCAAAGACCATTGTACTCAAGCGCTACAAATGCAAATAACATAAGGAAATAGAAAAGGTTGATCTAACTATAAAGTACAACATAAATGGTAGTGGAGGAACCATAATTTCACAAGCAAAATCATGTTACCATATGCTATTCTGTGTATTCATACTTACTACAATACTAATGGGTCAAATAAGGACTTTTATGTAAGTTATACAAAATATTTTCACAAATATTCTTCTGAACATCTTATTGTACATTTTAATCCCTTTTTTTAGATGAATCGTTAAAAAATAAACTATGCAAGGAATATGAACGATGAACCTACAAGCTACAAACTACAATATTAATACTGAAAAAAGGATGCATAGTTTGCAACAACAGATGGAGATAGTCCGAGAAACTTTTCAATACAAACTGCAGATTAGACCATCAACAATCTTTCCATTTTTAGCTTTATTTTTCAGTTTATTTAAAATTATACAATATGGAATGTAGATATATTTCAAAGACCATTGTACTCAACCGCTACAGAAGCAAATAACATAAAGAACTAGAAAAGGTTGATCTAACTATAAATTACAACATAAATGGTAGTGGAGGAACCTAATTTCACAAGCAAAATCATGTTACCATATACTATTCTGTTGTATACAATACTAATGGGTCAAATAAGGACTTTTATGTAAGTTATACAAAATATTTTTCACAAATATTCTTCTGAACATCTTATTGTACATTTTAATCCTTTTTTTAGATGATCGTTGAAAAAATAAACTATGCAAGGAATATGAACGATGAACCTACAAGCTACAAACTACAATATTAATACTGAAAAAAGGATTGCATAGTTTGCAACAACAGATTGAGATAGTCCAAGAAACTTTTCAATACAACTGCAGATTACACCATCAACCATCTTTCCATTTTTAACTTTATTTTTCAGTTTATTTAAAATTATACAATATGGAATGTAGATATATTTCAAAGACCATTGTACTCAACCGCTACAGAAGCAAATAACATAAAGAAATAGAAAAGGTTGATCTAACTATAAATTACAACATAAATGGTAGTGGAGGAACCATAATTTCACAAGCAAAATCATGTTACCATATACTATTCTGTGTATACAATACTAATGGGTCAAATAAGGACTTTTATGTAAGTTATACAAAATATTTTTCACAAATATTCTTCTGAACATCTTATTGTACATTTTAATCCCTTTTTTTAGATGAATCGTTGAAAAAATAAACTATGCAAGGAATATGAACGATGAACCTACAAGCTACAAACTTCAATATTAATACTGAAAAAAGGATGCATAGTTTGCAACAACAGATGGAGATAGTCCAAGAAACTTTTCAATACAAACTGCAGATTACACCATCAACAATCTTTCCATTTTTAACTTTATTTTTCAGTTTATTTAAAATTATACAATATGGAATGTAGATATATTTCAAAGACCATTGTACTCAACCGCTACAGAAGCAAATAACATAAAGAAATAGAAAGGTTGATCTAACTATAAATTACAACATAAATGGTAGTGGAGGAACCATAATTTCACAAGCAAAATCATGTTACCATATACTATTCTGTGTATACAATACTAATGGTCAAATAAGGACTTTTATGTAAGTTATACAAAATATTTTTCACAAATATTCTTCTGAACATCTTATTGTACATTTTAATCCCTTTTTTTAGATGAATCGTGAAAAAATAAACTATGCAAGGAATATGAACGATGAACCTACAAGCTACAAACTTCAATATTAATACTGAAAAAAGGATGCATAGTTTGCAACAACAGATGGAGATAGTCCGAGAAACTTTTCAATACAAACTGCAGATTACACCATCAACAATCTTTCCATTTTAGCTTTATTTTTCAGTTTATTTAAAATTATACAATATGGAATGTAGATATATTTCAAAGACCATTGTACTCAACCGCTACAGAAGCAAATAACATAAAGAAATAGAAAAGGTTGATCTAACTATAAATTACAACATAAATGGTAGTGGAGGAACCATAATTTCACAAGCAAAATCATGTTACCATATACTATTCTGTGTATACAATACTAATGGGTCAAATAAGGACTTTTATGTAAGTTATACAAAATATTTTTCACAAATATTCTTCTGAACATCTTATTGTACATTTTAATCCCTTTTTTTAGATGAATCGTTAAAAAAATAAACTATGCAAGGAATATGAACGATAAACCTACAAGCTACAAACTACAATATTAATACTGAAAAAAGGATGCATTGTTTGCAACAACAGATGGAGATAGTCCGAGAAACTTTTCAATACAAACTGCAGATTACACCATCAACAATCTTTCCATTTTTAGCTTTATTTTTCAGTTTACTTAAAATTATACAATATGGAATGTAGATATATTTCAAAGACCATTGTACTCAACCGCTACAGAAGCAAATAACATAAAGAAATAGAAAAGGTTGATCTAACTATAAATTACAACATAAATGGTAGTGGAGGAACCATAATTCACAAGCAAAATCATTTACATATACTATCTGTATACAATACTAATGGGTCAAATAAGGACTTTTATGTAAGTTATACAAAATATTTTTCACAAATATTCTTCTGAACATCTTATTGTACATTTTAATCCTATCAGCTACGACTTATTTACCAAAAACCATATCATATTTATAAGATATAAACAGTTTTGTTGACAAAAAATGTATGTCCATTTACGTTTTTTAGATGAATCGTTGAAAAAATAAACTATGTAAGGAATATCAACGATGAACCTACAAGCTAAAAAACTACAATATCAATACTGAAAAAAGGATGCATAGTTTGCAACAATAGATGGAGATAGTCCGAGAAACTTTTCAATATAAAATGCAGATTACATCATCAACAATATTTCCATTTTTAGGTCTATTTTTCAGGTTATTTAAAATACTAAACAACAAAACAATATATGAAAAAGCAAAACCCCACTTGATTAATGAGCATCCAATATTAGATCACAAAAATTACGAAACGCTCACATTTGGAAGGTCTAAAAATCTGGGATTATATGTTGTCTGCTATTTACCATAATGCTAATGTAACAGAAACAGCTTGGAAAAATAAACCTTATAAAGAAGAAAAACTCGACTTAACCATAAACTGCAATATTAATGCTGAGAAAAAGACAACTTGGAAGCAAACTATAATAGGAAAAGATGACAATCAATCATGTTTTTCCAAAAACAGATGGAAAATGCAATCTATATCATCTGCATTTTCTCCATTTTCAGGTTTCTCTTTCAGTAAAGTTAAAATTACAAAACAAAAGACACAACAGAAAGAAAATCCACTTAAATAGTGTTTACGCATTATTATAGCAAACCATATATCTATACAATTACAGAATGGATACTAATGTCTGAAACATCTGACGTAAGTTTCTTTGATATAAGATATTGTTCTGAAAACATTCATGTACATTATTTTAGTGGTATCAACTATATTTTTTCACAAACACAGATATTAAATATTTCTAAGAATCTGACATTTTAACAAAAAGTCCTGCATTATAATTTTTTTTTCAGATGACATGATGGAAAATGAAATCATATGAAAAAGGGATATGATCTACCTAGATAATTTTTGCAATATGAATACTGGAAGAAGAATAACTTAGAAAACATAGTCTAATGAGAAACAATGATAAACACTGGCAATCATTTTTTGCGAAAATAGATGGGAAATACAATTTTCCGTTACCAATTTTTTTCAGTATACTTGAAATTATAGAACAAGGAAACAAAAAAATCAATGAAATAAATAACAAACAAGAGAACGAAGTAACTTAGATGATACATTAAAGTTTTGGTAAATGGTTTTTTTTTGGTACAAATTGAGAAGCAAATTTAATGTATGCAAGGATTATAAAAACACCTAATTCAACAACCATTTACCATTTGTTCAATTAAATATTTATTTACTTATTTAGATTTCCTTTTTTTCAGATATATATTATTCATAGTCGTTTTGTATTTGTTTTCAATTTTTGAATAATCAGATTTTACGTTTAATTTTTGTGCGTCTTACAGTTTCATTTTTTTTTCTTTTGTAATAAGTATTTATCATTTTATTGAAACTGAAAGACGGGTGGAAGGAGGGTGGGACTCGACTTGCAGCTACCTCCGCGCGGTGAGTCCTGGGTAGTCCGAACATGGACTAGCTGAGAGCTGCAAATTAATCCTTTTCATCTAACATTAATCAGTTATAGATCACTGTTTTAATTATTTCTGTTTAATGATGATAAATGTTGAAAAATGTTGATGTGAATTCTACTTTGCAACCTGTTCAGAAGTAGAAATTGTCACGCCACTATGGACGATCTCTCTACAAAGAAATCAACAATATTCCTCGCAGTCCCTGTCAGCTGTATTGATAATAAACTATAGATGAAGGATAACTTTAAAAGCAAACTTTAATGAAAAC